TGTCACCCAGACTGGAGTGCAGTGGCCGCTCCCGGCCACTGCAGCCTCGACCTGCTGGGCTCCGGCAATCCTTCCGCCTCAGCCTTCTGAGTAGCTGGAATTACAGGCACGCGCTACCATGCCCGGCTGATTTTTTTTTTTTTTTTAATTTATTGTAGAGATGAGGTCTCGCCAAGTTGCCCAGGCGGGTCTCGAACCCGCGGGCTCAGGCAATCCACTCACCTCAGCCTCCCAAAGCACGGGATTACAGGCTGAGCCACCGAGCCCAGCTCAATTAAGAAATCTTATTTGAAATGTTCTGCAGAGCTCATGACATAGTGGGTGTTTTTTCCTTTTCCACCACTCCCTTGTTACATAGAATTACCAAATATTTGTATTCTTGACAGTTTTTAAAAACCAGTATATTTGTTACAAACTTTCTGTTATAGACAGTATGATTTTTTCTGTTATTTGTGTATTTAAATGATAATAAGGCAATATATCAAAAACAATATGATTATAATCATTAAACTAATAGGATCTCTTTATCTGTGTTGTAGGCAAAATTTCATGTAACTCAAACAGTAAAGAGTGACCTGGCATTGTTTCAATCAAGTGATTAACAGAAAAGATAAGAATGCAATATAAATCATATATTTAAGATAGCCTCAAATAAAATATGCTAGGATCCTTTTCTTATTATACCTTGTGAAAAAAAGTCTAAATCTAAATATTTCTGCATATGTATGTGTGCACATTCATTATTATAAAAGTATAAGCCTATATTAAAAAGAGATTTAATTTAAAAATCTTTGGTAAAGTTACTCTGAGGTTATGTGATAAGAATGCACTCTAAAGATTGCAAGCAAGCAGTATTCTGACAATGCCACAGTGCAGGATCTGTGACAGCATCTTCTTACAACTTTTTCTTTTGGCATGTAAACATTCAGTTACACAAGGACTTAAATATAACAAGCAAGTAGAATGTTATTGCATTTTAACAGTATAAATATTTCATAAATTCTTCTTCTTTTGGCAAAATTTATAATAATATGACCACTTTAAGAGATAAAATCTATCCCTCAATAAACTGGACTCTTTGCTTTGGCCTATAGAGAATTTTTCCCAAGTATTACATACAAAACAAGTTACTGAATCAATTCAAGCAGATTCTATAATCACCCCTATTGTTTAACAGTCAGTGCTCCTTGAGGTCATCAGCATGATCTGACCTTTAATTTGGAAGACAGGAATTCAGAGATACACTTGACATTGCATCCTAAAACCCACATGCTGCCCCTAAGTGAATCTCATTATATTCTACATTATGAGACGTATAAGATGGAGGATAAGAAAAGCAAACTTAGAAGATGACTGTTCTCAAAGAAAGTTCTTAAAAGCTATAATTTTGCTGGTTCTAACACAAAGCTGTTTAGTGACAAAAGCAAATGAGCCACAAATTAACTTAGACGAGCTATAGTGACCATAGGCTTAAGAATTTCTCGTTAAAAAAAAAATCACTTTTATGATTATTCCTATTCAAGTAAAAGAAATTTAACTGGAATTCCTGAGGCATAGGTTGCGATTCAAAATATGTACCACTAATTTCTTACTTCTGATGTTAAAATTAAAAAAAAAATCAGACTAGACAACTATCACTTTACAATCATGAAATAGATATTTGTGAAATAAGGGTACCAGGGAGGGGGGTATGATTATATTTGTCATATATGAATTCTTAAACTGGGTGTTAGGTATATAGGAATTCATTATATTATTATTTATACCTTTTTGTATATTTAAAATACTCCATAATTTAAAAAGTATATACTTGTGGAAGATTTGAAGAAAGGTTTAAGAAACATTAATCCAAAATACTTATTTAGTTTACAATATGGCAACTTGCCATTACTAAACTAGGTATCTCTCCTTAAATGAAACATGTTAGAACTTAATAAGTTTGGCTCTGCATTTGGCAAGTAAATGTTTTACTGGCTAATAAGAGTTTGAATAAAGATTCTAGGCAGAGACTCTGAATATTTTTAGCTCAAAAATATACTTTTTTTTCAGTGATTGTCTTTGAAAGTGTGGTGTAAATGTCAAATCGATGATATGAAAATGTCTCCTGCAATATGTAATTTCAGTTACAGAAGGATTATGAGAATAATGAAACTGTGATTTCACAATCTTTTCAAGTGTTTTCTTCTTTCAAAAGCAAACTACACAAAACTACACAATTTTATCTTGTGTGTTCTGATTTGTAATTGTTAGGCAAAAATGACCTAGGCCTGGGGGGAGAAAAAAGAATAGAATTTGAACTGTTTTTTACAGCTTTCTTCCTGAAGAGAAAAAGTCAATTTTGACAGTTGTGTTTAATATTAGAAAAAAACTTGATAATATATATTTCTAAGATGAAAAGTGGGACAGTATAGGAAATGTTATATTCTAGAGGAAATCAAGTTTGTCTATAATATGCCTATGTAGTGTGAATCTTAAGATAACATAGTGGGATAATAATGGATTTTTAAAACATACCCCCAAAATGCTTTTTCCAGCACATCCCACCTGTAATTTCTTTAGAAAAAGACTGAAACTTGGCTTTCTGCCATCACTCATTAGCTATGGGCCAATAACTGTTTTCAAATGAGCCCTGATCACTGGTCACTACAGATTCTGAATTTGGGCTTGTTTAACTTATGTAATTTACAACTTAAATTCTTTATAGGCTAACAAAGAAATTGTGCATGTTTCCCTCCAAGGGACATGAGTGGTGTAAAGCAATAGAAAAATATATTTTTCAATACATAGCAAGAGATTGACTGTCCTTTATAATCACAGGCAACGTAGAAATGATAGGATGGCGACTTCAAGTCTAAAAGCACCTGTGAGTTGGCAGACGCACCCAGGAAAAAACTGTGTGACAGCAAATACCACACAAAAAAAGCCATTCAACCAGATGAAAAGTGAGACAAACATAGGGATTAAAAGTTACAGGAATGCAGAAGTGAATGGGATGGAGCATAATCTGTGCAAAAATGTGGAAGTCCTTGGGAACAAAGGCCCATCGAGGTCCTACATGATTAAAAGTGAAATGTGGATTTGGTAAGAACTTTAAAAAAAAATCTCATAATTTACGTGTTTCTAAGGAGAGATTAATAGCAGATGAAGAACAGAGACCATTCCATAGTTTGATCGCTTTTCCTCTATTTTCCTACTTCTTTTTTTATCTTTTGCTTGTGTTTCGTCCGTCGCAGCGACATCCACTAACCAACTAAACAGGCAACTGTATCTAAAGGTCAGTGCTCGCCTTGGCGGTCAACACCCTGATGCGGGCAGAGTTGCAGGTCTTGCAGAGGATGTGTCCATCCAAAGGGTAGCAACCTTGGTTATCTCCTTCAGACAGGAGGCCACCACAATCCTGGAAAAACGAAGACAGATGGAAACGACGTAAGTAAAAATGTAAAGTACATATGTGGAGACCAGATTCTTTAGTTTCTATTCAAGGCCGCATAGTGTGGCCACTTACTGTCTTTGCTGCTTCATATTCTGCCAATCCCCTCTACCCTTCACCCCACTATATAACATAGTATATCTTGAATTAAACTGAATTAGAGAATGGGGACATAAATACAAATGGAGTAAAATGACTTACATACTGTCACTTAATATGAAATACTGAAACAGAAAGAGTCCATAGGTCTAGGCTCCCATGAAGTAGTTTGCTTCCCCCAGTCAAAAAACAAGATAAATAGGGATAGACCCCTAACCAGTAATTCATCTTTACCCTTTATCATTAGTTTAAGGATCTCTCAAAAGGAATAGACAGGAAAGAAATGGTATTTTTTGGCCATTTCTGGGAAAAAGCTCTCTAGGAGTACATTCATACATTTTTTAATAAAACTAAGCCAGGCTCGGTGGCTCAGCCTGTAATCCTACACCTTTGGGAGGTTGAGGTGAGTGGATTGCCTGAGCCCGCAGGTTCGAGACCTGCCTGGGCAACTTGGCGAGACCTCATCTCTAAAATAAATAAAAAATTAGCCGGATGTGATAGCACATGCCTGTAGTTCCAGCTACTTGGAAGGCTGAGGCGGAAGGGTGGCCGGGAGCGGCCACTGAACTCCAGTCTGGGCCACAGAGTGAGACTCCAACTCAAAACAAAACAAAACAAAACAAAACAAAACAATACAGAACAAAACAAAAAACTGCAAAACAAAAGTAGAGTGATTTCTGCCAACCAAAAGGGCCACCAATGGGTCTGCATACTTATTCCTATTCTAGTAAGACAATAGAATTCTAAAGTTTGTGGAGTGCAATGGTTTGCTGTATTTTCTAAAGAAGATAGCATGGTGTAGAGGAATGAATACTAAACTGGGAGACAGGCCCTGGGCACCATCCATAGTTTTATCACAGTCTGTGTCACTGCATGCAGGCTGATTGCCACTCTAAAAATAATTCCTGTAGTTTCTATTGTACCAAGCTATTGGGAGGACCAAAGAAGGTGATAGATATAAGTGTGTTTTGAAAAAAATGCAAAGAAGTGTACTACTGTAAAGGATTATATTACTGTTGACAGCACCTTTGAAGGGCCATTTTGGAAAGTCATATATAACGGTTAAATACTGGCCACTGTCTTTGGAGAAAACAGAATTTTCTTTGGAAAATAAATACATAGTACTTCATTTAGTGCTATGCGGCCTTGCTAATTTTAGTGTAAACTCTAAAAGGCCACAACTGATGTGAACCTTGCTCTGCTGTCTACCACAGTGGCAATGAGGTTAAACAGACTTCATATCTGTATTTGACATAAAATAAAATTTAAGTTCCAACAGGGTATCACCCAGAACACAACAGCAGCAATGGTTGTGCTCCACAGGAAGTTTGGCTTTATCAAAAAGATCATGCAGATATATTGCAGCTTTAGGGGCTTTCAGGAAAATGAGCAATGACATAAAACACAATCTTTCCATCACAATAAAAGAAAGAAAGGTATTTCAGAGCTGACATAGTTTTAAGCCTTTAATGAGCTAACATCTCAGTCACCTGGACACCTTAAAGAGCTCAGAGTTGACTACAGCATTGAAACCACAAATGACTCAAATGTTAGGAGTCAAAAGAAGTCTTGTGGGCATGGGGCATTAAGTGCAATCACTTTGATAGATGGGGAAGGAGAGGAACAGAGAGAAAAGTGAACTTTCCAGTGAATGCAGAGTTCATAGCAGGACTAAAGCAATGGTCTGCTGTCTTCTAAATCAGCATTCTTGTTTTGTAGTTTTGTTTATTAAAAAAAACATTCTCAGCATTTTAAAGCAAACCTAATTTGTAAGGCTACCATTTAAGCCAGGAGGAGGAAAGGCACATTTGATGCAACTCTAAGCACAAAAGCCAAAAATATTTAAAGGTTAAAGCCTATTGGTATGCATATCAATTATGTGAGGTATGCTGGAGAGACTTTCTTCTTTGAGCCTCAGTTATTCCATCTGGAAAACAGACCTTTAAAATATCTCTTAGCTCTTATACACTCATGATTTGAATCACTTTAAAGATGATGGTTGGAAATTGTTCTTTTGACTTCCCCGTCCTAAAGTCTTGTGTACAAGCTAGAAGTTTTTTATTATCTTTTTTGACATTGAGGCCAGAGAGAGACATGTAACTTGAACTCCAGGGCAAAACAAAACAAAACAAAACAAAAAAACCCAAAAAAACAAACCAAAAAAAAAACTCCAAAAAATCAAAATACAAAAAAAAGCAATATTACATAAAACATGTTCAGCTATAGCTAAGTCAAGGAATGGAATGAATGTACTCCTAGGGAGCAAGGGCAAACTTCACAGCACTGCCAGCCTGTGTCCTGGAAAGATCTCCTAGTCGGACAAGACAAATCAATCTCAGGAGGTTGTGGTAATAAGGAAGTCCAAATTATCCTGCACAGATAGAAGAAGGGGCACTCAGCAGAGCCAGGAGAAAACTAGAAGACTGCTTGAAAGGAGAGGGTGTGGGTAACAGAATCAAGATAAGAAAATATTTAAAAAACATTATCTGAATGTGGTATTGTTCCGTGTGAGTGAACGTTCAGGTGGTATCTCTGGACACCAATACATCGAGAGGCAGGAAACTGGTAGAAAGAAGTTTATTTCTGAATTCAGAATTCAGGGAGACAGAACCTGGCTTCTGGCATTTCGGGAATCAGTATGCTCATTCCTTAGGTTTCACAGTCCGTTTTTATAAGTTTAGGTTACTGGCACTTCTACATTGACTAGACAACTGATAGAACATTGTACAAAACTCAAGTTACAGCCACATTTTATTAATAGTAACATTTATGGTCTGTATTTTCTGGCACCAGCCACCAAAAGGTAGCTCATAGAATTATCAGTAATACCAAACTGAAGAGTTGAATAAGCTTGCCATAGAGTAAGGGAGTTAAAGTAAAACATTATTTGACAACATACTGTTGATTAGAAGCTATATAAATTACAAGGTTTATGGTTACATGGGTGCTATATTTTCAGATCTATGACCACGGATAAAAGGAAGTGAATAGGGATTCATTCCTCTCATTTGTCTGAGTGTAAACTACAGGAGGTTAAGGGTTCTTTGAAGTGACTTAACAGGGAATGTATCGGAGATAAGGGAATATGTTTTCTTTTGCTAATTCTCAGGAATGTAGGTGCAGGTCTGCCCATGCCCTTTTCTTTGAGGATTATGGCAGTATGGACAGACAATAGTGGTTTTCCGTATTGATATCCTTTGTTGTTCAAGATATAAGGAGAAAGATTTTTTTCCTTTTGCTGTATTAATGGCTACTTGTCCCTGTATTAATGGCTACTTATCTCTTAGGTGTTAGCTGATGTCCTCTGAAAAGCCTTCCTAATTGCTTCTAGCCTGGATTACAAATCTGTTTTATGTATTCCCATGGCACGTTGTGAGGGGAGACAGATACAACTCTCCTATAGCCCTTAGCAGTCATCTGGCCTCCAGTCTCAAGTGCTCAGTCAGTGCTTACTAATAAATAAATCAATCTCCATGACTTTGAACAAGAAGTTCCAATCTCTCTAAAGTGAATGCACTCTTAACTTATCCTTCTCAATGGGTCAATGGGTGACAATGGTATCAGTAATTAACTGAAGTATTGAAGCCAAAGTTAAAGATTCAGTATAACAATAGCATAATTTCTCACTAATTTAGTACTTTTCAAGGTACAGTGTCCTTTACTATACAATTGTGTATTTTAGTCTAACAGCCATATTTGGAGGAGTGAAGAATTTAATTCCTTTTTACAGAACCTTTTTACATGTGAGGGAATTGAGACTGAGAGAGGTAAAGTGACTTATTCAACAGCACTTGCGTTAAATGCCAGTGTCAGATCTAAAACCCAAGTTCTATGAGCACAGATACTAAGACCTTTCTCGGAAGTATTAATTGCTATGTCTATGAAAACCCAACTCTAACCAGCCCTTCGATGCCTGGCAGGGTGGGTTGTCGACCTGACCTCGCAGCGGTAGCAGTGAACATGGAAATCTCGATCCAGAGCCACAATACGAACAGTCTCTTCCTGGCCTGGGGCCGGCATGATGGGCTCCTTGCACACAGAACATCGAGGGGCAAATTTCCTGAAAATGAAGAGAGAGTGAGTCCTGGTTAGGCACTGGGCACAGATACTGACAAAGAGGGGAGACAGATAAAATGAAAAGGTGGAAACAGTCTGTGGACCTGCTTCCTCATCTGTAAAGCGATGTTGTTGAGGTTCTTCCAGATGGTGAATACTGTGGTATTCAGCAAATACTGTGATATCTGGTGAGATGAGTGTGTGAACTGCTTAGGTGTGAAGAACATCTAAAATTTCTCTATCACGGTATGTGGTATGAAAGTCACTTTTAGATTGATTCCGAAGGCAAACCCTGGGCGTGGGTTAGTCTAACTGGAGAGGAGAACAAAAGTCCTGTCTGGCCCCTAACTCTTGCTTCTAGACTTTTGTATGCACTCCTCAGGTCCTAGACAAATATCCTGAGGTTGGTATCTTCACCTTTTCCCACTTTTTAGAGGCTCTTTCTTGGGACTGTGCTCTGAATTCTAGGAACTGACACAAGAAGTCTCAAATATACAGCTTTTCAAAAGGACAGGTTAGTGAGTTTAAATATACATTACATCAAACTTAGGTTGACTAAGTCTGCATTTCCTACACTTTTGTTGTGTTAAACCTTTTGAAAAGAAAGAGTTAAAGAGCTGTCAAGTTCTTTATTCTTTAAAGGAGTTTAGCACTTTTGAAGGTATAAGGACACACATATACTCACATATACATATATGTGTGTATATGTTTTTGAGACTCCTGGTAAATAATTTTAATATTTTCAAATTTTTTAGTATTTCTTAATATGACCAATGGTCTCTAACACCTTTTTTCTCATGAGAGATTAATAGGCTGCAAATATAGGCCATGTATCCATCTGTATCTTCTGGAAATTAAAGGTGGTATTTGTGAAGGTGTGAAATGAGACATGATTTGAAATGGACATGGATAAGAACTGAAGAAATCTTAAAAAAGGAAAACAGACTGTGCGACTCAGTTTTTTCATGGTAATGGTTTTAAAATTAATGACGTTAAAATTTTTCTATTTGTAGTGAGATTTAAAAAGAAATAATGATAGTAATCTGATACTTTGCAAAGCACTTTATGGTTGTCAAAGCATTTTTACATACATTATATTCTATATGTACATATTAATTTTCCTGGCGGCACCCAAAAGGCATCTGTATGGCTGCAATCTAAATAAATATGAATTAAGCAGCAGATCAATTGATTGCTATGAAAGAAAAATTAAAAGGATCATGGTACCACAGCAGCAGTAATCAGAGTTGTTATAATTGGTATTTTATGCAAGGAATTTATTCAGTGGCAAAAGATTCCTTTGGACTACTCGATTATTTTAAAATCTGGGTCATCAGTGGTGAAATAAGCAGACTTCTGGGATCAACTGCCAAAATTTTCTTCTTCTAAGTTCTGTGAAGACAGAAGTATATTTTGTTTATCAATAAGCCTCCCTCAATTTCCCCAAATAGAAATAGTTACTCCTGTAGGATAAAAATGCTTTCACTAAATTTACCTATTTTGGTAGTAATTATTTGCATATCTTTGGGGCCCACTGAACTGTAAGCTTTCAAAGGATAGGACTTTGCTCTATCTCTGAGTCTTCAGAAACAGCCACTGTGACTGGTGCAGAAAAATAAAAGGCTGTATCTAATGAAGTGAAGCATCTGCCATATTTCCCTATAAAAAAGAGGCTATTTGGGCTTTATGTTCAATCTCAAGGTCCTTCCTTTTTGAAAAGACATAAACTGTATTCCTTCTGAGTTATGATTCTTTCCTACCAATTGACCTCATTTCCATGATAGGAAAAAGCAAAGTGAAGGGACGGGAGATTGTTCCCACAGTCCCCACAGTGTTCCTCAGCAATTCAAGGAGGGCTCAAAATTCCAGGTGGTCTATTTTAAGGCTTAGCTCACTGAGTGAACACTAATAATAATAAAAATAAGTCTGAAGAAAACACTTTTGATGATTAAAGCTACCATTTATTGAGTCCTTGTAATGTGCCAAGCCCTGTTAAGCACTTTACATACTTGACATTATTTTCTACTGACAGCAACATTACGAGGAAGTACTTCTATCATTGCTACTTTATAGCCAAGAAAGCCAAGGCTCAGAGAGGGATGATCTTAGTCATCTTGTTTCCTGGCACATTTCTGGCAATCAACATATAGATGCAGATTAAACAAATAAATGAAGGTAATATTCCTGATAAGAAAGCACAGATAGTGGAATAAAGCCTTGACACATAGAAATGGTGTTTTTTTTCGGGGCTTTCTCACTGAATACAAGAAGGACTCCAGCACAGACCCAATACAAAATTCTATACATTTCTGCATTTGTTTTGTTCATTTCTATATAAATATCCTATCTTATTACAAAAATAATTTAAGGTGGTTATTGCATAAATTAAATGTATATATGTATATCAGTACTAGTAAGATGGTGGTAAGTGCTATCTATAGCAGACTTACAAAAATCTATAAAACAGAGAAGGAGATGTAAATTCAAACACAGGAACAGGGACAAACTAAGATCAGAAGCGTCTTCTTAGAATAAATGTTACCTGAGTTGGGTCTTTAAAGATGACTGTAGGTGAAATGGGAAAGCGTATATGTGTGTGTGTGTTGGGGGGATACTCAGTCTGCTGGGGAACTAAGTCTGTAACAGTATTCTGAATTGATGTCTGTGAAAGAGTCATGTCCAATGCAGGAGAACATAAGCCAACATTGACCACAGGTGGTTACAAAGAGGATGACCCATGAACAAGGCCTCAAAAACAGTATTCCAGAAGCTTGTTACTCAAAGTGCAGTTCAAGATCACCTGGGAGAGCTTGTCAGACACAGTACCTTAGGCCTCATCCCAGGCCCGAATTAGAACCCAAAGTTTAACAAGATCCCTCTGTGAATTGTAGGCACATACAAGTTTAGGAAGCACTAGTTTTAAAAAGGCAGACTAAGCAGGTGAGATAAATCCCTTCTCATGGGTCTCCTGTATCCCAAGGTAAACCTCCACTCCCAGGCTGCTCCAGTTACAGCAAAGTAAATCTTCCTTGAACATACAGAATTCTTTCCTAACTCTGTGCCCTTGCTTTGTCCTAAGTTCTCCCTCTGCCAGGAATCTCCTTGTTTCTCACTTTAAACACTCTTCAAATTCTCCTTCCATAAAGCCTGCTCTGATCACAGAGTCCAGTGGTCTCTTTTGACTCTGACAGCACAAGCCCTTACCTGTGCCTTTCTCATGGTGTTTGGCCCTTTCTGCCTTATGTCCGCACATTTTCTCTGCTCTCTTCCCTGGCAAGTTCCTTGCTGACGGAGACTTCTCTATATATATCTGTGCAATTTCTCTCCTTGTATCTCTCTCTCTCAGCATTTAGCACAGTAATTGGCACACAGAGCGTTCCTTTTTTTTTTTTTTTGAGGTGGAGCCTCACTCTGTCACCCAGACTGGAGTGCAGTGGCCGGGAGCGGCCACTACAGCCTTGACCTGCTGGGCTCCGGCGATCCTTCCACCTGAGCCTTCCAAGTAGCCAGAACTACAGGCGTGCGCTACCATGCCCAGCTAATTTTTGATTTATTGTAGAGATGAGGTCTCGTCAAGTTGCCCAGGCGGGTCTCGAACCCGTGGACTCAGGCAATCCACTCACCTCGGCCTCCCAAAGCCCTGGGATTACAGGCTGAGCCACCGAATCCTGCCCAGAGCGTTCTTTGAACTGTGAGTTGAACTGAATTGAAATATATTTCCTACAAGCCCCAAAAGGGAGGCCCATTCAGAAGGACCAAAAACAAGACATGAAAAACTGTCTGAAAAAGGAGGCTGCAGTCCTTTATCTATCCTCTCCTTGGTCTTGCAGTACCCATCCTGTGCTGGACTTTTAGCTGCTTTGTGTTCTAGTAGTGCTAGTAATTTTGAGGCTTAGAAATAAGAGTTTTGTGTAACATTCTCTTATTTTCCTCTAGGAAATGAGGAAAAGATAACAACAACAACAACAACAAACTTCTCCCCCTATATATCTGCCAGTCATGAAAATGACATATTTTTAAAAAATAATTTATGTTTTAACATGCATTGAACTAGTGGGGATAGGTATCTGGAAGTTTAAGATTTTTTTTTTTCCCTCTTAGTTGCTCAAGTCTGCTTTCTGGGAGCTTTCAGACCCACACATATATGTCACCGGTTGCAAGTCTCTAATTATGCTCCCTGCCCCTATAAGTGAAAGATAACTGGCATAGATATAAACTTACATTTATTGGAATTGATTTCCTGTTTTAGTTGAGGGGTGTAATATATCCATCATTTCCAGCAACAATAATGTGAATGCTCTGATTTTATCTATCAGGTTTTCTTGGATTAGGGTAAATCTAAGGAAGGATTGAAATAGTGATAGAATATGCTCTCCATTGATACCTTTTCACTTCCCTTAAATAGATGCAGGGTTTTTTATGTGTAATTACAAGCTAAAAATATCAATAACGTGAAGTATAATTTATGCTGTGACTGCCCTTTCAAAGTAAGCCCTTCCTTGTCCAATATAGGCTGAAATTTCTGCCACAGGGTTTTTAAAAAATTCATTCAGCCTCACGTCTTTTGGTGGGGTTTTTACTTTTTTTTTGCTAGTTGGAAAGTGGTCAGGAAATTCATTTTAAAAATAGGAGTCTCAGATTCTCACAATACTTGTGGTAAGTGCATCCGGGTTGTTGACAATCAACAGAGTGCTGAAAATTAACCCACAGGACTGCACATTCAGAGGCCAGAGAACAGATACCCAAGGTGGTGAGCAATATGAGCTTCATCTCTTTGAAAGTCTCAAAAATTACCTTCAAATCCACTGCCTGGCAAACACAAGCCAGAAAACTTTTGAATCTACCATCTATTATTGCATCTATAGCTTTAACACAGTCCTTAAAATTATGTAAAAAATGGGCTCGGTGGCTCAGTCTGTAATCCCAGTCCTTTGAGAGTCTGAGGCAAGTGAATTGCCTGCGCCTGCGGGTTTGAGACCCACCCAGGCAACTTGGTGAGACCTCATCTCTACAATAAATAAAAAATTAGCTGGGCTTGGTAGTGCATGCCTGTAGTTCTGGCTACTTGGAAGGCTGAGGTGGAAGGATCGCCTGAGCCCAGCAGGTCGAGGCTGTGGTGGTAGGGAGTATGCCACTGCATTCCAGTCTGGGCGACAGTGAGACTCCAACTCAAAAACAAACAAGCAAAAACAAAGGAAAAGGAAAATACAAGACTGTGTAATTTTCACAAAAAACCCAGCTATAATAGAGGAAAGAGGGACCTACAAATGGGAGAATTGAGGAAGGGGGACATATTTTTCCAAGCCCGTGAGTAACTGGCTTTGATATTAGGGCTCCACTTTCTAATCCTCCTCAAAAGACTGCATGATTTGTACTAACTCATTCACTGGAACATAACCTGAGAAAGAGAAAGCCTGGGTAGGGGAAAGATTAGAGAAGGGCATGAATATGTAGATAATGGCATGAAACTGCCTCTGGATATGTGAGAGTAAGACTGAATTGTTCTCTGTGTCTTTCTGCAACAACCTCCTCCCTGTAGAATGACAGAGATGTAGAGGTGAGCTTTTGAGAGAATTCGGGTTGTCATATCTGAGAAAGCTTTAGGACAAGGTTTGGTCTAATGACCAAATTGATGAGCTCAAAGAAGTTGAGCAATTTTCCAAAGGTCATACCTCTTCTTCCTGTCTAGGCCAGGATTTGCCTCTTTCTAACACACATACTCTATGGCTGAGTCAACTTATTTTTACAATTGGAGCCACCCAAAGATGCGATGGACAAACCCAGGGAAGTCTTGAAGTAAATGCCAGGCTGGATGACCACGTGGGTTACCTGATACTAATTCCTGTATTGGATGCACTCATAAATAAGCTCTTCTTTTTTTTTTTTTTTTTTTTTTTTAGTCAGAGTCTCACTCTGTTGCCCAGGCTGGAGTGCGGTAGCCTGCTCATGGTCACTGCAGCCTCAACCTGCTGGGCTCAGGTGATCCTTGTACCTCAGCCTTCCAAGTAGCTGGAACTACAGGTGTATGCCACTATGCCCAGCTAATTTTTTGACTTATTGTAGAGACCCGAGGTCTTGCCAAGTTGCCCAGGCTGGTCTTAAGCCTGTGGGCTCAGGCAATCCTCTTGCCTCCACCCTCCAAAATGCTGGAATTTACAGAGGTGAGCCACCGAGCCTGGTCAAATAAGCTCTTTTAAAGTTTCCACTAAATCCTGAGATTCTACAGCTTTGAAAGAGAAGAATGTTCAGCCCAGATGCCAGGCAATGAGAGCAGAATCCAGGAGGACCGGCAGGCTGAAGAAGGGAGAGTAGGTCGCTTACTTGTGGAAGTCCTCAATGCAGTGAATGAGCCCGCCAGCATCCACAGTGAATGGGATCCCATCCAGGCTGCGATGACACATCACACAGGTGAAGCAGTGAGGATGGTAGGCCTTCCCGGTAGCTCGGAGAATTCGCTCCATGATGGGCTTGGAACACACGTTGCACTGCTCCAGAGTGTTCTAAGGAAGGAAACAAAAACAACGTTACACTGGGACTTGGGGAACTCCATACTTTATTTTTCAAAACACACTGACTCATGTGCTTATCACAGGCAGAGTGTATTCTTTATTAGAGAGAAAAGGAAACATAATTAGACAGGTCAAGTAGCTTCTCTAAGATCACCTAGGTAGTAGGAGCAAGTTCAGAATTTAGAACACATGTTTTCTGACTTCAACCTTTGTTCCTTTTTTTTGTTCCCTACAGCAAGGGTGATGATGACAAATTCTTCTGTAAAGGCCCAAATAGCACATACTTCTGGCTTTGTCGTAACAACTCAGTTTTGCTGCTGCAGCTTGATGGCAGCCATAGACAGCAGGTAGACAAATGGGTGTAGTTGTATTCCAGTGAAATTTTATTTATGAAAAACAGGCAGTGGGCTGGATTTGGCACCAGGCTATAGTTTGCTGCCTCCTGAGTTATACCACCTAGGATCTCCAATTAATACTTCACTATTATTTCTAAAACTTGATTCGTCATCAAAGATTTAGTGGGGTCACCAAGGCCCCTAACATTTTAGAGAGTAGTCTAATGACTGAGACAGAGCATGCTGGCTGCAGAACTCAAATCGGAGCTCAGCACAATCAATGAGGCTTCCGATCAATTAAAGCCTTGATTCAAACACCATTTCCAAGTGTCAAGTTCTTAAACTCTTGATGGAAATGTTGAAGTAGAGGGGATCTTATTTTGGAAATGAATTAAGAAAGTCAATTCATTTAGTTTCAAAAATATGTGGAACTTTAAAAATACATATCACCCCTTAAAAGAGATATCACTTAAGTGAGTCAGGACTCTGAAAGATTGCCTGTTAACTTTCCATTCTTTCCTAGAATTCCATGCTATTATCAAACAACCATGTTTCACCTGGGCTGACTCACTGAGTTTACAATCAGGAATAAACCTGAGATAGGGATCGATTGCATTAGAAAGATACAGAACTGGAGGGGATGTGGAAATTAAGGAGTAGCTGACCTTTTACCATGAGAAATTGAACGTCTATGAAGCAAGAAGTGCCTGTACATAGGTTACAAGTGCCTTCACGTCTGACCTATAGCAATGGCCTCTGAACTGGTTTCCTTGTTTGCATCTCTTCTCTTGTAATACTCCCCTTGTGCCTTCTCACCCCTCCGATGACTTTCAATTGCCCTTCCCAAACACAGCTGTGATCAAGTACAACTACCTTTCCTGACAACAAAAACTTAATGCCGCCACAATATATAATAAATAGAGCTAAATCCTTACATGGTATTCAATCCCCCTTTCTAGACGTAGCTTCTCATAACATCCCAAACTGCTCACTCTTGTTCAAACCTATGAGAAACTTCCATACTTCTGTGCTTTGACAAATGCCTAGATGTACCACAATTTGCCATTTTGACCTCTCAAGGTACAGCCCAGAAAGCAATTCTCTGGTGAAGCCTTCTTTGATGGTCCCAGTTGGAGTGAATTGCTTCTTTCTCTCCCACTTATGAGCTCTTTACTTTTCTCTCACAGCACTTAAAGTGTGCACAATAATTATTTGTGCATATGTCTATTTCCTCTACTAAACTTTAATTTCAGTAAGGGCAGAGACTATGTCTTAAGAATGCATTTTTCTGTCTTATAGAGCATCCAGTATGCTATCTGGAATAGAAATAAGACTGGGATGAATGTGTTCAGAAAGAATGAATGAAGGAATACTGTTTATATCCCACCCTGGCAGCACAGTGCTGGCCTGACTTCCTTAACTCTGGAATTCATCCCAAGATGAATTGGTAAATCCATCATCATCCTTTCCTCAAAGTTGTGGTTGCTTGAGGTTCTGAAATTGCTTAGTGTGCCTCTGGTTACAGTCTAAACTCATGGAAACTATTAACCTATTCCCCCCCCCATTTTGAAGTGGTGAAATGAAAATTGCAGAAGAGCATAGGATGAGAGCCTGGAGATGATGATGGTCTGGAGAATGAGGGCCTGCTTCTTTTCTGCTCTGACAATCTGAGCTCATGTGGATGGAAATTGTCTTCCCAGGGCATGTGTTTTGCTCCTCTGTGGGTTTTAACTTTTCTTTTTTAAAGCTAGCCCTGTAATGGAGTTGAATAACCAGAAAATGCTTGACCAGAAAATGTTTTTGTTTGCACTGAGGCTTGGCAACAAGATTCAGCTCATGTACTCAAAACTAGCAGCAACATATAAGGTTTAGTTACTTTCTGTGAAAGACTTTATGGTCTATGGAAGAACAGGTATTCAAAGGACACATAATCTGAACATTTCTGCTACAAAGGAAAAACGTATAAAATGTGCCTAAAATCAGGCTAATGCAAAATACCCCCAAATAGAAAAACAAAAGTTCCAAGAATGCAGTTGACTGGCATCCTGGGCTAGAGAATGATGGAGGAGGACATGTTAACCTTCACCAGCCAGCTCCCTTTACTACATTCCTCCCCTTTCAGTCTCCAGTTGGCCCAGTAGGCACGTGTTCTCTTAGAGGAAGGAGAGAAATCATAATTCCTTGAATCTATTCTCTCATATCACAGGTGAGCAAACAGACCTGGAAAACTGATCCATTGGACCTGAGTCATGGAGCACAAAAGGAGCAGACATGGGACTGGTACCCCAGCTTCCTGACTCTTAACAATTCAGAGAGGGATTTGAGGAACTCATTATGTAGCCATGGAGAATGTTGCTAGATGAAGAACATGAATTAGCCTGCTGGCTTTGGCAATATACACTCTATGGCTGTGGGTAAGTAGTTTCTTCTTTCTAGACCTCGGTTTTCTCATCTGAAAAATGATCATTAATTCAAATTATTTTATTACTCTGTGATATATCAGCATTAACAGCCCTAGGAAAAGGTAAATGTTTCCATTACCAGAGATATACTAGGAACAACTACATAACCCCTTCTTCTAGGTTTGAAAGGGGGACTTATCTGTTTAGAAACCTGGACTACATTACCAGTACTACATCTTCTCACTTATCATTCCAGAAATTGCTACTGGTAGAATTCCAAGCACTACAGAGTGAGAGATTTTTATGTCATCTTATAGATGATTATTTTAAAGTCTGACAAAAAGATACATTTTTCATGTCAATATTAGACTTCTCTGAAGTAGGCTAAAATGAAATGGTTGAGAAATAAAATAGTTTTGAAGAAAATAGAAAGTCTTTAAGCAAGTAAGTGAAAGAGGGATATCTCTAAATATATCTATTTGAATCATATTTTGCAAATCTCATGAGTGGGGTTGCCTTGTTTGATAGTTGGGGAATTAGGAGAAAAGAGCACTCTCCAGTTTAAGAACTTTCAACATTAGTAGTGTGCCTCATGACCCCTTCTTTCTCCATCACTGTCCCTGTGGACCCCACCTTCTAACTGTCACACGGAGCTTCCTACCATGTCTTTAATAAGCAACATTCTTTTACAAACCCAGTTGATCTCACACCCTACTTTGTCTACAGATTGCCTACTACTCATTCTTCAAAGTGAATCTCAAATGTCACTTCTTCTGAAAAACCTTTCCTAACTCTCCCCTCTGTTGTACTCCAAGCAAAATAAGTCACTTCCGCTCCCATAGGATTGTGTGGTGATTCTCCTACTACACTGTACACAATGAACTTGATTTAGTGGTTTATGTCAACCTCTAAGACTCAACTGTGACCTCTCCTCTCTTCCCCCAGAAAGACATAGCATGAAGTTGTGTTTTCTAGGAAACAAATTCTGCAACAGCAATTTTTACACAGGAAGTTACAAAGATGTGTCTTTGCAAACAACACCTGTGGGAAGTGCAGAAAGTATCTGGGCAGAGGGAGGAGTTGCACTATGATGCAGTTACAGCAAAGGCCTCTGATGGTTCCATGGATACACTGTCGCTGAGATGGCTCTGCAGAGTTGACCTCTCTTGAAGACACAGGGCCCTTATATTCCTTCATCTACTAGTCAGCCGATACAAGCTGCCACCAAGAAAAAGGTATAGCCTTGGGTGAAGACGTTCTTTTCATTGAGGGCAATTACTTGAGCGAGTCTCAGTTATGAACTGTCAGCTGTCAACACTCGCAGCAGCTGGGGGAAGAGAACCTCAGTACTGAAGAGAGATCTGACAGCATACAACAGCATCCACAACAGTAACCATCCTTGCCCTTACATAGTACGTCTTACATAGTATACCACACACAGTAGATAATTGGCAACCAGCTGTTGAAGCCCTTTAGCCTAAATTTAATAAAGAATCTAAATTTTATTTTATTTTTAATTTTAATTTTCTTCAGCAGTAACAGTTTGAGGGCTTTTTTTCATAGAAAATATTTTGGGCAGTTACTTCAATGAAAGTGTGGTTAAAGTGAGAAGTAAGAGTATCAGAAAAAAACAAAATTTAGTCAGTTGTCAAAAGGCACAGCTTATAAACTTTTCTGCAGTGATGGCAACACAACTGTGATTAAAAACAAACAAAATAAGTGAAACTAAAAATTAAATCGCAAACAAACTTTGTACAGAAAACTCCAAAATGCAACTGTTTTTAAGTTAGAGATATATGGTTGTGTTTTTCTCTATACTTGAATATTGTATAAATAACTTTAACTCACAAGTAGAAGAGCTGAAACATTAATGTTTTATCTGAATATAAATGAAGCATATAGGTAATATAAACATTAACTACTAATGAGATGATAAAAATAAGAACATTATCATAATTTACATATTACATAGGTATATGTGTTCAATATTGAGAATTTAAAATCAAGACACATAGTATTTGAAGATTCAGAAAACTATAAAGTGATTGTTGCCATTTAGAAATGTTAAAATTTTCATTTTATAAAATTAAAATGTGATCTTATATTCATCATTAGCTTCTTTTAGGTACAAAAACAATATTGTAGAAAAGGAAAGACTCTTGGAAAGATAGGAATGACATCTCACATTCTAGATACAGTTTTGGTCTTGCTGACATAAGAACAAAAAGGAAAAAAAAGAGAGGGAAAACATTCG